CCCTGGCCCCCTCCCCTCCTCACCCGCCCGCCAGCCACCCACAGTCCTGTGCTCAGAGTCCTCACGGCCCCCGAAGGACAGCCAGTCCCCAGCCCAGGACTCCAAGGCGGGTCTCCAAGGTGGCGCCCCCTCCTGCCCTCCTGGGACCAATGCGCATCAGGATGAGCGGGTGGGCTGTGAGCTGGGTGGGCAGTGGCCGTGGGTGGGTGTGGGATTAAGTTTTAAAATAAAACTTGTCACACCATAGAGGGGCTCTGCCCCCTGTCATAGCCCAGCCACAGCTCAGGGTGGGCAGGGAGCCCAGGGCCTACATCACTACAGACTTCATTTCATTTTTATTTTTTTAATATATTTTTCTTGATTTCAGAGGAAGGGAGAGGGAGAGAGAGATAGAAACATCAGTGATGAGGGAGAATCATAGATCGGCTGCCTCCTGCACGCCCCACACTGGGGATGGAGCCTGCAACCTGGGCATGTGCTCTTGACCGGGAATCGAACCCTGACCTCCTGGTTCCTAGGTTGATGCTCAGCCCCTGGGCCACGTCCATATGGCTAGACTTCATTTTAAATCCTGATCCCACCACAGGGCTGAGTGGAGTCTTACGGAGGATCTTGGGGAATCAGAGAGGGAAGATGGTTTGATGGTGTCAGGCTCCAAGAGGGAAGCAAAGTGGAACCCGATGGGAAGTTGGGGGATGGGAGCAGTGGCGGGGGCGGGGCTTGAATGCAAGGGTCTTGCGTTCCCGCACCCTCCAGGGCATTCTGCAGCCTGGGCGTGGGTGTGAGCAGGTCGCTGCCAGAGTGCAGGCTGGGAACTGGCACCTAAGGGTGTGGAAGGCAGTCCCCTGGTGACTGGGGATGAATTTGTATTCTTGGGGTGCATCTGAGATGCGGTATGTCCACCCCAGCCTACCCAGCCCCCCTCCGGCTCCGAGGGCCCCGACCTGTGGACCTCTCAGGGCTATCGCTGCCCACATAGGGGTGCCATCTAGGGCTGTGCTTGTGGGAGCCCCTCCCTGCCCAAGGCGGGGCGCTTCCGGAGGCCACACCTCATGCCTGCTTCATCGCGGGGTCCAGGCCCAGCCCCGCCCCTGGCCCAGTGCGGGCATTAGGAAATATTGATGGAACTAATCAAGAAATTAGTCTGATACTTAAATAATTCATGCTGTTAGGCACTGTTTTACCCTTCACTGGCGAATGAATGAATGAATGAATGAATACATGAACAGCATTACTTAAAACCTGTCCCGAGGACTGAAGGGCCCTGGGTTTGATCACGGTCAAGGGCACATACCTGTTGCAGCTTGATCCCCGGCCCTGGTCGGGGCGCATGCAGAGGCAACCATTCGATGTGTCTCTCTCACATCGATGTTTCTCTCCATCTCTCCCCCTGCTTTCCACTCTCTCTAAAAATCAATAGAAAAATATCCCCGGGTGAGGATTAACAAAAAAGGGGGGAGGGGGGAAAGAGTTAGTGGTTACTTTTCCGGATAGAAAGCAACCTGGTGCACACTGAGGAGTAAGCAGAGACAGAGCGGTCGGAGACGAGGGTGCTGTCCCGCGACCTCGCCCGCAACCCTCTGCGTCTCTCCTCCCAAGCATTTTTCTGCGCGCGCCTATTTTCCCAGACTTTGAAGCATTCTATATAAACGATTCTGTGTCCTGCTTTCATTTTCTAACCTTGTAGCGCAAGGTATTTCCCACGTCATTAAATATGCTTGAAAACATGATTTTATGGCTACATAATGTTCCTTCAAATGGATGCAACATAATTTATTTAAACAATCTCTTATTTGAGAACATCTAAATTGTATCTGATTCTTTGTTCTCTCCCAAGTATCGGAGGGAGCAAGCGTTTTCACGGTGAAACCTCTATCTGCCTCGCCCGCCTGCTCTTGGGAGCGGTTGGTAGAAGGGAGATTTCTGGGTCAGGGGGTGGGGGGGTCTGAGGCTCCCCTGAGGCATTTCCAACCTTCTGGCCCCGAGGGCCGCCCCCCTGTGACACCCCTCACGCCCCCCTGCCTCCTGCCCCGGAGGGAGGAGCTTCAGGGCTTATGCTCAGACTCCTAGGAGGTCGTTAACCCTCAGGCTGTCACACTGTACCAGTGAGGCCTCCTCCTTCTGACTGTCACTTCAGCAGGCTCCTGCTGCCCCGGGCTCACCTCTCAGCCCCGGCAGCCCCCAGGGGTCCCCTGTCCCCAGCAGGGGACAAGCAGGACCTTCTTGGCTTCAGAGGAAACACTGTATCGCTCTCCCCCAGCTCCTGCGCGGGCTGTGTGCAGGGGAGGGACGCAGCCAGCCAGGGTCAGAGACGTGGCATCTCGGGCGTGGTCCCGCCTCCTGCCCGCTCCCGGGCCCCTCCGTCCTCGCTCACTCGGGGTTATTGTGCCACGCGTGACACTTTTGCTCCAGAGGAGAAGTGAGGAGGAGGCCCCGGTGGCTGCACACACAGCTTCTAATCCTCCGTGGGCAGCCCTCCCCGTCGGGTCCTCACCCCCACCTCGCCCACGTCACGGGAAGATGCGCAGGCGAGAGGGGCCCAGGTCCTGGCTCTGGGCAGTTTCCAGGCTCCCGCACTCCCCACTGCTCCACGCGGGCTCAGCCACCTGGAGGGAGAGAGAGTGGGACCGCCGGCTGGTCCAGGAGGTGCACAGACCTACCCACAACCCCCCGCCCTGTGCCCAGAGCAGGTGCCCAGCCCGCGGGTGCACCAGCCGCTCCCCAGCCCACCTGGCAGCGGGGCGGGTCCTAGAAGCCTTCAGAACCAGGTGGGCTCTGTGCTGGGCCTTCCACGGGCCCCA